AACTCGTCTAAATTACCACAAAAGGTAAATCCTGTTATAACAGCTTTTATAACAATTTATTAATTATTAGTAGCTCCACCGTTGCGTTGACCGTTATTTAAAAATTAATTAAATGACTACACAGGATGGCAATTTTATTTATTGTTGACGATAGAGAACACAAAAACACACTAAAAAGAAATATTCAAAACACAGAACACATGAATAATGATGATCTAACGGTTATCTTAAATTGTTAGCTTGAATCAATTTCTTAAACTAGATAATATTTGTTAAAAATCTCTTAAATAATAAACAACAGTTTAACACGTTACGCTATGCCTATATTTACGCTTTGAAATTAGATATTACAAAAATTATCCCGAAAAAACCTTTCTTAATAAATTTGTTTCAAGATAAAGTTGCTACCAAGGTTTTCTTCTCATTTCAATATAACAATTATTTTATTGTATCAATAACTATATAAACTCAATTTCTCCTCTCCGAGGCTTATACACTTGAAGTGCACTAGAAGATAACCCAAGTCCAATAATTAGAAATCAGATTGACTTTTATCTCAGAATCAAACCATATCCAGGTGAGGATATCTCGTCTGATCACAGTTCGCTCATAGCTAACGTAAAAGTTAAATTAACGAAGCTTAAATATAAGTCTAGTAAAATGTTGTTAGACACAATGATAGATACCAACAGTAGAAACATGTGCGATAAAATTATAAATGATAGATTGAACTTTGCCACGTTCCAAACCGATGGGATAAATGAGAATGCCAATATCAATGAATACATTGTGCATGGTATTAAATCAACAATTGTACATTTAAACAGATATATTGCACCAAAGATCAGAAAGCATAAGAAGCAGGAATGGTTGACTAGCAAGTTTCTGAATTTGACGGAAGTCTGGCGGCAGTGTAAGATCTAATCAGATCAATCTATGTATACCCAAATTCAACGAGAAATCCGGGTTAACATGTGAATAGCAAAAGAACAGTGAATGGAAGAATGAAGAATGAAGTTGGAGCCTTACAGAACAAAGGGGACTCGTTTGGCTTACATAAAAAAGGCAAAGAAATATCACATTTATATCTGAAACAGCATAAATCTAGAATACAAAATAAGCAAAACGAGTAGATAAATCACCCCAACCAATTTGTAAACTCCCAACAGAGGGAATATCTGTCCCACCTATGTTGAAAGATGAGGTCATCAATGCACTTAAAACAGCAAAAATGAATAAAGCATAGAACGAGGCAGTAATCTGTATGAATACCTGCATGTGCACTACAAGCATTTATTAAGTTCAAACCCTTCCTCTATAATCAGTCTCTTTCATTTTAGATCCGTTATAGAATGATGCAGTGTTATGTATGGTCCATATTACTTTATGGCATGGAAACCTGGACCCTAAAAACATCGTCAATCAATAGGCTAGAAGCATTCGAAATGTGATCATTAAGGAGAATTCTACGAATTTCATGGTTCGTATTCGCAATGAGGAGGTTCTTAGAAAAGCTGGCGTAGACAGAGATATTTTTTAAGTAATTATAAAACTCAGAGGTGACTACAAGGACAGATCGACAGCAGGAGAGGTGTCGGTCGTAAGCAGATTTCCTGGCTGCTTAATATAAAACATTGGACAGGTGAAAATAAGTAGAACTTTGCCCTTGAGATACTCGCCAAAGCACTACGTGTAGGGCATGTTAAGAAGAAGAAACTCAATTTCAATAAAAAATTAGTGCGTATTATTCGCTAGTTGACAACCTAACAGTGTACATGTACATGTAATGTACATTCCTGAAAATTTGATAAATATATCTCATCCCCTATCTCAACGGAACCGTAACGGACTGCTTTATGTAGCGAATCGAACGACACAAAATCGAGGCGTGAAAGGCGCTACGTCTCCGATGCAACCGCATAAGAATGATATCTTTATTATGATAACAAAGTAGTGAATGGAGGTAACCTATTTTTCCGGGTTCGAGTCTGCAACGTTACTTCGCAATTTCATTTCGCCCCTCACGACGTTACGTGACAACAACGAACGCAAAATTGTGTCCGTGTTATCAGGTAGTAAAATGTTGTTTCCGACCCAAATTTGTTGCCTCTTATCTATTCCAGCTCCGAGTCAAGCGAACGTGCATCCGATGCACATCATTACGACTTTATTTACAGGGGGAACAATATTTCGCGGAGTTTAAAATGTAAACACAACATAAAATTGCTCAATTCAGGAAATAAAACAAATGACAAAAAGACAGAATATGAAGGTAAACAAATGGTAGAACAATTAGAGACAGAACAAAATGAATAACTTATAACGAGAGAAGGATTAATTACTTGAACTGAGGTGGCTTTTACTTAATGAAAATCCATTTATCAAAAATTACATATTATGACTTGACAATTGTCTCGACAACACATTTGATAAGGACACGGTGTTGTCGAAACAATTGTCATGTCATAATATATAATGTCGTGAAAATCTGAACTTTTAGTTCTTATTTAGGATTAATTACGGCAATAAAACAGCTAAAAAATGGTATGGGTAGAAGGAAAGATACCGGAAGATTGGAAAATGGGTTTAATACTACCGCTGCACAAAAAAGGAAATAACAGGAACTGCAACCATTATAGAGGAATATCACTGCTATGTATACCATTGAAACTGTTTGAGAAAATGGTTGAAAAGAGATTACGATCAAAAGTAGAACCAACTCTAACAGAAACGCAAAGTGGGTTCCGGAAAGGCAGAAGCACCCAGGATCGCGTATTCACTCAGTATACATTCTTACATATGGAAAAAGCGTTTGATAAAGTACCGCGAATAAAAATTTCGAAAAGGCTACAAGCCAGAAAGGTTGACAATAAACTGACAAGCGTTATCAAATGTTTATACAACGAAACAAGAAATTGTCTAATAACTAATTCATCACTTGTATGGACGATCTAATTAGAATGGCAGAACAGCGATCAAAAGACGTTTACATTGGATACCTACAACTAGAGGGTACGAACATATGGGAATGTGCCTTCGCCGAAGATATAACGATCACAGCAGGAACCTCGAAATCAAAAATCTAAATAATTGAGATCGGATACAAACAAAAAACGGAATGAAAATGAACATTAATAAAACCAAAGTTATGGCAGTGTCAGATGAAAAAGAGAAATTAGAGATTAGAATACGTGGGACACAAATAGAATAAGTTAGTGGCTTCCACTACTTGGGAATTAGGTTCGAAGAAACTGGAGGATAGGAAACATAATCAAATAATAGAATAGAAAAGGCAAATAAGGGACTCATAAATAAAAAGAAAATTGTGCAAGGAACCAAAATGAAAGTTTACAAAACAATTTACAGACCAATCCTTACATATGGCTCCGAGTCTTGGATATTGTCAGATAGGAACAAGAGCAAAATTGAAGCAGCAGAGATGAGATACTTTATCATCAGAGATTCCATTCACCAAGACCCCGCGTGCCTTCAGTTTCTCCTGTCGTGATTAGCTGGAAGAGATGGTAATTTTTTTTATGTAACATTTGACAGTTACAATTATTTGTCGCCCCACCCTGGCTGGTCAGTAGTTCACATTTCAAACTGTCTTATTGAACTTAGCTTTAAAGTCCAGCATTCCACCCCATACATAAGAACTGACCAAATAAAGCACCTCACTACCGCAATTTAAGGATAAGATTATCGTGACAAAAAAGTGCTTTCTACTTTCCATATGTTCTATTGTGATCCCGTCAAGCAGTTCGTCTTCATAGAGATTTCGGCTAAATATAATAAACTTGTTCTTTTTTTAACATTTATATCGAGTCCGAACTCTTAACTAACAATACCGATTTTGTTTAATAGGTGATACAAACAAGCAAAGCATATATCATTTCTTATTTCAAAAACTGTTCAAGTTCAATATTTTAGATTAGTTCTGTACCCTGGCAAGGTAAAATAGATTGACAGAACGCGATCATCTATTTTTGGTCCTTAATACTCTTGAGGAAGCAAAGTTAGAGACACCAAGAATTAAAACTAGAAAATTTCCAATTTAATTAACTTTTAGGCAAAAGTCAGGAATTACTCGCCAACAAGAAAAACTAAATTGAATGGCCATTCCAAACTCTAGACATATAGATAACATATTTTTATTGCTCATAAATTAAACTCGCTTAATTTCCAATACCTAATTAATCATAATAGTCCAACAAAAGCCAAGTGATGACGGCCTATAGCCAAAACTAAACATCAAGTGTCATTGAAATTATATCATTTGCAAAAAAAACTCTAAGAACTATTTCAGCCGACTGATTATTTTGTCTACAAGGGGTTCCCGGTTCATTAAGATTGCTAATCACAAATTCATGCCCCAAAACTTTTTCATTTCAGTATAAGTGCTAACAAGATTTCGGTATCATAAGTTTTATATTTTGCCAACTCACACGCAAAAAGGTTTCCTATTAATTTTTGTTACAAACATTTTCATTTGCAGAAATTCAGCGACATTAGTTCACCATTAGTTTCATGAACCCAAATTACACACACGATCTCTAACTCACTCGAGAATTAACTATTTAAAAAAAAATGTTTGTTTGTTGAATCTAACCAGTGAATTATCTTGTAAAATTTTACTATGTATCTAAACAGGTATTTTTTGATCAGTGCCACGGGCAAGCGCGTAAGCTTACTGGAATAATCTTAGTTTTCAGTGTTTTGCGGTGGGTCTCTATTTTCACTTTACTCCTTAATGATTAGAACGTAGATCACTCACAAAAGAATAAAATTATAAACTGTAAATCTTTGATTTTCAATCTATCTAATTATATTAGTATTCTTCTATTAAACTCAAATTAAATTTAAAGAGCTAGTGTCGCATACTCTGATTTCATAGTTTTCTTATTATTGAATAAACTACCACTGCTACTGTTTACAGTGTAAGGTGTAGAGTGAGAAATTACAGACATTTTCAAGGGATATTTGGAATAGATACTTTAAAAAATTACATTGGATGAGGTGTAAAATGTGCAGCTATGAAACTTTACTTGTTTGCCGTCTAACCTAATAACCATGTAAGATTTCTGCTCCTTGTTACTAATTAAATGAAATCGCCATTTGTAAACAAAACGATTCATTGGTTTTTTATAGTTCTGTACCATAACCATGTACTGTATTTGCCAGGTAACTAGACTAGGTTTTGCAGTTTATTTATGTTCCGATCATATGCCAAAGTCGGTTGCGGTCGTAGAAATATCGTCTTTGGTTGGGGTGCATATTCATTTATTAGATTATATGTTGTCATTCCAATGAGATCCTATGTACATATTCAAAAATATATTAAAAAATATTTTTTCTACTCACGTATGTAAAATACCTAATTACACACAAATCTAGCGCGCGGGAAGCGTCACTTTACCACGTCAGTTTCGTTTCCCACGGATCCGAGCCACTTCAGATATTTCCGGGATTTTACCGCACTGGTTTGGGAGCAATCGGATGTTTTCGGAGATATTTCCCACGCCTTGAATTTTGACGTTTGTCAATTCTGACGGTCATGTCAGTGAATGAATTCATATTGTTTTGCAAAAATGTGCCCAAAAACTAATACGCAAAAAAATGTTATACAATATATCAGACAACTTAAATATTACGTGCTATAAGCTACAATTAAAATCTAGTGGTCTAGTGGGTGAGTAAAGTGACATTTATAATTTCAGTTTCTCATAGAAATATTACATACCGTCCTCATGAACTTCAGCGGTTTTTACAGTTTTTATATTAATATCTTGCCAAGACCAATTGTACGATTTTCAAATATCCATGTCTCATCAGTACAAACAAAACAAAATTGAAGGTTAGGTCCTGTTTCTTCTTGCTTATATGATCTTAAATATTTAATCCTCTTAAATGCTTTATCCTTAGATGATTTTTCTATTCCAATTACAGTCTTTTTCTTCAAATAAATGACTTAATGATCAATTGTAAAAGTTAAATAAACAACATAACGTTTTAAAATTGTATTTATTCCGTTGTATATATGACATATCCAGTAGTACATCTCTCTCTGTCTATTAATGACATCTAGTAAATATTTTGTTTAAATGATACGAAATTTAGTAATCGGATAATCTGTTATTACAAAGTTATTTATTAAGCACTCCCTCCGCTCATGCCAAATAAACTCGTGGGTCAAATGCTGTTTTGCTGTTTACCGCACTTGTTGCATAATATACTATAACAGTTGCGTAAGATAAAAACGTAGTTGTACCACTTACTAACCAAAACTAAACAAAACTTTAATAATCTTTAAACTTCAGTTTGCATAAAAAATCCAGTTACGCTGGCGTAGTTAATTAATATTTATTATTTGATTAATTTATTTAAATATGTGTGTCCAATCAAGCCAAAACTTCCCCTTACGATTTAACAATTAGTTAACTCTTTTGTACTCACATAACACACTCTAGCTAACAAATCGCTTAATATCCGAATTATCGAAATAAGTTAAGAAATCAACTTTACTTTAACTCCAAATGTGTTTACGGGCCAAACAAACAGGATTTATTTTACCCGGAATAAATACATTTCAACAAGCCAAAGTCCTCCTGACAGAATTAAAACTTATTTGAATAAAGGACGACTAAGCTCCAGGTTTCGTATTAAAATTTATTTTAAATCTAGGTTACGTTCGTTGAGATGGAGACGAGAAACATAATCGGAAAAAAGGAGACCGCCAGGGATTTATATAGTTAAACCTTTGGGATATGCGGATTTATTTTTGTTTACGAACGAGAGGACAGGTAATCGTACATTATGCACAAATTATGCAGCAGATATGAATTTATTTCCCATGATTCATTTCGATGGCTAGTAATATTAAAAATGTAAGCGTTTGTTTAAATCGCTTCCAGTTGAGTTAATCTTTTCAACAGTATTAAATTAGTTTTGGTAAATTGTCGGGTTTACGTTTAAACTCTCCCGTAAACTTTGAGCATTTCAAATTCTGTCCGGCTATTTGAGAAGAGGCACTTAAATCCGGAGATGTCCACTTGTTATATAAAATGTTAAATTCATAAAAGAATCATTCATAATTGGAACAGTCCATTTAATTTAAAGTGACTTTTAGGACGCAGAACTGAATTAAATGAGTATTTTAAAACGAAGTAGTTATGATTTTTACCGAGATGCTCCAATATTTGTTTTTTTTTCTTTTAAATGTTTTTTAATTTTAATTCATTAATAGTAATTCAATTTTTATTAGATTATTTTTTATTTGGTTGACTCCATTTCGGTTTTTCCTAGCCTACACCAAATGAAGACCTAGTCAAAATCAAGCAAAGATATATGAAATAATATTGTACGTAGAGTATCTGCTAAAGTAACAAAAATCCTTAGTTTTATATCCGTTCGAAGTATAAAATCAATTAACTTTCTGTAAATAGAATAACAAAAACTAACAAAACTAGTTCGTAATAGTATATTATGCAACAAGTGCATTTGACTCACGAATTTTTAATAAACGAGTGAGTTACAAAGTTTACTGAACGTGTTGCATACTATACTTTTTCCAAGGACCGTTAGTTTTTGGGTGCATTTTCGCAAAACACGAATACATTCACTGACATGACCCTCAGAATTGACAAACGTCAAAATTGAAAACGTGGGAAATATCTCCGAAAACATCCGATTGCTCCCAAATCCGCGCGATAAAATCCCGGAAATGTCCGAAGTAGCTCGGAATCATAGGAAACGAAACTGACGTGGTAAAGTGACGCTTCCCGCACGCTAGATCGATGGGTAATTAGTATTTTACAGACGGGAGTAGAAAAAATATTTTTTTTACAATTTTAGTAAACAGAAAATTTGATTTGTTGTTATCCAAATATACATTTGCCGCGAGAAAATGTTTCAAAAATAAATTTACACCAAAAGAACCTAAAAAGAAGCCTAAATATTTATTCAAAACTTAAACAAATCAGCACCGATTCCTAATGGTTGTTATTCATCTTTTATCTCCCTTTTAGCTAAAGTTTGGAAAACCTCGCGCCATCTATGGCCTGGGAAATATTTCTCACAGTTTCCTGGTATAAGGTAACTAACTCTTTCGTAAATACATTGATCGAACGACTGCCATTCGATACGAAAGTCATTCTGTAAACAACCCAAACCCCACACTCAACACCAACTGAAGACAACCGCATTGTATGTACGAAAGAAAGGAATTCTGAAGCTTTAAACAAAACCCATTCTTTAAAAAAATTAATTTATTTATATTCTACATTAAGAACATATACAAGGCTTGCAGAGTAAGCAGATCTATCACATAGTGTGTAATATACAAAGTGTTTTTGAAATTTTTGCAATAAATTTCAAATACTCATTTTTTTTATAATATATGTACACGTAACAAATTGGGAAAATATTTTATTGCGCACTGAACAAGTACGTGTAAAAGTAACCGAAATTTTGATATCAAATATATACATATAACAGCTTTTATTGCTATGCTTGACTAAAATTGCGAAAGGATTGAATTTATAACAGTTTTTCAAGAACCCAATAGGGGCCCAAAATTATGGGAAATTACAATTTTAACTAAATTTCCACAATAATTAAAACTACAATTAACATTTTAGAATAATATGCTTTACAACAGAATTATAATGTATCTACCTAGCTGGTATTTCTTAGGCCTGCGTTTTATACTACATTTGGTGAGTTATTAAACGAAATATATCCTATACCTTCCTCAAATCTTCATCACACCCTGTATTCCCTGTATTTCCTGTTAGTATCAAATTAAAACCAAACCCCTCCCATCCACGATATGGTTTCTCTCCACCGAACAGATAATCTTATAAACGAAATTTTCTATAAAGGCGTGAGTTCCTACGAAATTTCTGTTGCTTCGATCGGCGTTGCTGTAAAAACCACCGCAATCAAATTTTGCGTCGTGCTATCCTTCAAATTTGTGCACTTGTCCTACTTCAAGGCCAATTTGTAAGAGCACGTCCACGGCTGCAGAGTTAAACCCACATGGACCACAAATAACAGCGTAGATATCCTAAGGTAAAAATTACAAAGCTGCCAGTCGGAAAAATCTTAATTTGGTGCAAACTCATACCTTTATCGTATAGCCTGTGTCCTGCAGATGTTCTTGAAGAGCGTTCTCCACCAACTCTTGATTGACATGTCCCGTCGGCCCAGTCCATTTACTGCTTGGCTCGGACAAAACATGTTCAATTCTAAATCTGAAATATCATGCTTGAATCGGCGACCGACTTTAATTTTCGTCACCTCACCTGGGGTCTTCCTTAGATAGGTTTTCAAAATGCGATTTGAGTAAAATATCTTTCTCTGATCGATTGAAAAACAGGAGCCTGATAAATTGACTAAAACATTGCACAAAATTACGTTACGTCAAGCCTACAGTGTTGCTTACCATTTTTTAACTCTTCTTTCTAGCAAAAATAGAATCAAAGATAGCATAGGTGTGATCCCGGTACCAGCTGCTAGAAACAGGAACGTTTCTTTTTTTTCTACGTGCTTAAGCTGAAAATTTCCTAGAGGTCTACTGAATTGGACTATATCATCAATTTGTCTATCTGTTACGAATCTGCTTATGTTTCCTTCCATATATCTCTTCACTAACAGGCATATAGTTTCCTTGGTGGTTTTGTGGGGAATGAGTCTGTCGAATAAACAGTCCGGGACCGGCGTGTAACTTCTAGAAATTTCATTACCTGAAAAATGTTGAGCGGTAAAATTGTCTTAAAGTCATATAAAAAATTAAATGTGGAAGCTTAGTGTCTTTATGAATATCTTAAAAAAACAAAACAAACAACAAAATGTCCAGTATATGTTATTTTGGAAAATGCAAAACCTTCTTATTTATTTCGAAATATACAGCTTAACTAAAACATCTTTTTCGACGATAACTTGTTTTTTTATTTATTAGTCTCGTCCAAATTAGCGGCACATTAACAACAAATCGATACAAGGAGGAGCAAATGTAATAATTTCAAGTTGACGCGATCAAAAAAGATTGCGGGTTTATGGTTACACAGTTCTACAAAATTAAACTTTTTAACACATGTTTTTGTTTTGGTTAGTTAGATTCTATGCATTTGTATCACGAGTATGCATTGTATCTCAAATATTAAAGAAAAAAAAAAACGAAATTTCTGAAGTGATTTATTTTTTTATTCAGTAAAAAAGTGGAATTTTAGTTTTAAAAAAAAGTTCTGAAAAAACTATACTCAGAATTTCAGGTTTGATATGAAGCGGAGGCAGTAAAACTTTTTTGGGGTCAACTAAGCTATCTCTTAATACATTTTAATACATTTTGTGTGGTGTGAGGCTTGTTCTAGAGGGATATTCTATTTGAGTTCAGTGTTCAATTACTTCTTTAAATGAAACCCAGGCGTTTTTCTCGACATTGGTCATTGTGTTTTGAAAATACGTGTCTTTGCATAATGTTCTTATCTGCCGCCCAACAACCAAAACTGTTTTTGTCTTGGCTGGAAATTTCTCGCACAAATATTTGAAACACCATCCATTTTTGTCTAGGGCTAAGTTTGATATGAAGAGGAGGCAGTAACAATTTTTGGGGTCAACTAAGATATCTCTTAAAACATTTTTGCTACCAAGTGTAAGGCTTGTTCTAAAGGGTCATTCTATTTGAGTCCAATCTATTGCCCGACTATCCCATTCATAAATAAAGCATGGAAATTTTGTAGAACACCCCTGTTGTTCTAGGAACATGTACAACACTTTAAGGTAACCACAATGCATCCACTGATGTTCTTGGTAGTTTATTTTCTTCAAAAGGAGTCCTAAATTTTGATACGTTTCTTTTAAATGTACCGAATGTTATCATTATGGAATAAAACGCCATTTAAAATACGCTGACTTGAGTCAATAAACAGGCGCCATTCTTTTTCTGTATGCGGCACATTTCCTAATTTTGAAACTAAGTCCGAAACATTGTTGCAATACTATAGCGGTCCTTTCTGAGTAAAATAATGACATAACTCTGTTTCGCGATCCCATTAAAAGCTTGATGTGGCGCCAGGTGCCAACAAATGCTGGTCACGAAGTCTAGACGCTAACAATTCGGATGCATCTTTTGGAAGGTACAAATCTCTAATTAAATCATTTAATTCGCTCATCTGGATCGGAATTAGATTCCTCTAATTCTAATGATATGACGTTTTCTAGTTCTTTGGGGTGGTAGGTATCGGTACATCTGGGCCATGGGGAATCAATTCAATTAAAAATCATCCGTAACATGCAACAAACATGTCATAGGTATGTATATTAATAAAATAACATTTTTTAAATTTAGAGCGCTATAAAAAATGATGTACAAAAGAAAAAAATGCGTTTTTTAAAAAATGGTCCCCAAAATATCAAAATCACTGTAAACCTTTGATGTTAGACAAATATTGTTTTGTGTTTCTTTTCTTTGATTGATTGGTGGAATTATATTTTCGGTTATTTGCATTAATGCAGAAATATATGGAGTAATATTATATTATTTAACATAGCAAGACAGTTGTATCTCCTTCATTCATTAGTATTTTGGATCATGTAGTTTCGGATACCATTTCATCTCTATTAAAAATACGTTCCCAAGAGTGTTGTCGGTGGAGAATATGTGAAAAACATGGATAATGTGAGCCTACGTTGGAAACGACATTTTTTACTCGATGTTACCAGATAGTCCTATTTCTGTTTTTTTATATTTTTTTGTTTTGTAGTATTAGAAAAAAAAATAGCTGCAAAAATTTGGTAGAAAATGCTAGGGGTGATTTATTGCAACAAATATTGTAATAATTAAATAAATTACAATCTTACAAAAATTTTATTTCATTATTAGATATCAGCAATCAAACCAAATTACGAAAGAAAGGTCTACTTTTGTTTTCAGTATCAACTTTTTATAACCACTTCAAAAGTTTCTTGCTTTTAAGAAAGTTACTTTTTACTTATACAGAATTTTCAAAAAAAAAAACGCTAAAAATTATCTCTTCCTCTCAGTATCAAGTTCAAACAATTCTACGTGCTGTACATCGACGTCCAAAGAGTTACAATTTCGATAATTGGTAGTTACTATTCCCAAATTCGATTTTGTTCTTCTTTTGACTATATCAGACCTGACTGCTTACTTTTTGGAATATGTATATTTAGAATGGAACCACCAATTCTTATCTAAATCTAATCTAACTGAAAATTTCGGTTGGAATTGGCTTTGCAACTTATTTGTCCAAATTATACAGCATCCCCCATTTTTTAAGTTACAATAAATAAATTGTAATTTATTAAAACAAAAATTTTAAGTTTGAAAAAAAAACATCTTCCAAACTATGTTGCCCGAAATTTCATGGTAACGTCGTGGTTTTTGTTAATGTTACTATTAGTTACCTTTTCTCAGTCATTATTGAAATTGTTTTAAGGGCATAAATTTTTACTTGAAAAAAAAAGAAGAAATTAATATACAGGGTTTTTCACTTAAAACTCCGCATGCCAATAAGTCCAAAACGAAAAGAAATATTTAATTTATGTAAAAAGTAGTCAAAGTGTGGGGTCAAGTAGATATTTCCTAAAGTTTAAAAAATTCGACGCCTGCAAAGAGCTGGGCGTCGCGACGCGTCGAAAAATTATTCGATTGTAGAGACTTTGGAAATACGCGCATACAAATGTACATATTATTTAAAAACTTTTTTGTTATTTACTCAAACTTATTTACTTTACCCGTTTCTAAGTTATACCGATTTAAAGTAAACATTTCTTGATTAATAAAACATGTGATTAACGCTTATTTTTACAAGTATGGCATGAATGTTAGTTACTATGGCAACCATTGTTATCGCAGTTGTTTTAAGTGCAATTACAAACGTAAGTTGTTATTGCTGTATCAAAAAATTGTCACATTTTGTCACAAGAAATATCCAAATTTGTTCGGTTTAAAAAAAACTAAGAATTATTATGTGAAAATGGTGCAATTTAGCAATGAGGAAAAAGTAGACATGTTACTGGTGTTTGGAGAATGCAGATGCAATTGTAGAGAAGCAAAAAGAGTTTACGCACGGCGTTATCTGCATAGAAGAGACCCCGATGCAAAAACCTTTTCAAGTTTATGTAAAAACATAAGAGAATATGGCAGCTTCATAAAACCTAAAAAAGATAGGAACAGAACGGCTACAAATGATGAAAATACTGCTGCTGTAATTCAGCAGGTTGATAATAACCCCAAGATATCCCTATCAGAGATAAAAGAAAATACCGGTGTTACCATAAGTTCTTCGTGGAGAATTCTACATAGAAACTCTTTTCACCCGTACAAAAGTAAACTAGTTCATAAACTAGAACCAGGCGATTATGCTAGAAGAATGTATTTCTTAGCGACATTGTCCGATTTGTATAGCCAAGATGCAAATTTTCTCTCGAAAATTTTATGGAGCGACCAAAGTCGATTTCAAAATAATGGAATCGTTAATAGACACAACTGTCGTTTTTGGTCCGAAAACCATCCTCGTTGGATTACAGAAAGAGGTAACCAACGAATTTTTAGTATCAATGTTTGGTGCGGCATACTAAATGGATTGGACCTTACTTTTACGAAGGAACTTTAAATGCAGATCGCTATTTAAGATTTCTTCAAACTACACTTCCGGAACTATTAGAAGAAGTGCCTCTTGACACTAGAATGAATATGTGGCTACAGCAGGATGGAGCGCCTGCACATAATGCCCAAATAGTAACGAGGTATTTGAACCGAGAATATCCCAATAGATGGTTTGGGACTAATGGACCGGTAAGGTGGCCGGCGAGGTCCCCGGACATTACACCACCAGATTATTTTCTTTGGGCTACCTAAAAAACGTTATCTATGAAGAACCTATCGAAGATATGGCTGATCTCATTAACAAAATTAGTGCAGCGTGTGCCGCTATCACAAGAAGGACTGTCCTACAAGTGACCCAAGCTCATCTGTTAAAAGTTTTTGATAGTTGTGTTCGAGCAGATGGACATAATTTTGAAAAAAATTTTTGAAATGTCTTATTATGTAGTTAATTGCAATAATAATTTTGGTTACTAACTTGTAGGTATTTTACTGTTTTTTCATTTATTTATCATGTTATCAGAACTAAATCGATAAAAAGTAATAAATAAAATCATACTAAAATAGTTGAAATCTATTGTTTGTAATTGCACTTAAGACAACTGCGATAACAATGGTTGCCATAGTAACTCACATTCATTGCATACTTGTAAAAATAAGCGTTAATCAGAAATTAGAAACGGGTAAAGTAAATAAGTTTGAGTAAATAACAAAAGTTTTTAAATAATATGTACTTTTGTATGCGCGTATTTCCAAAGTCTCTGCAATCGGATAATTTTTCGACGCATCGCGACGCCCAGCTCTTTGCAGGCGTCGAATTTTTTAAACTTTAGGAAATATCTACTTGACCCCACACTTTGATTACTTTTTACATAAATTAAATATTTCTTTTCGTTTTGGACTTATTGGCGTGCGGAGTTTTAAGTGAAAAACCCTGTATATAGTATATTAAATTAATGTACTCCTCATTTTACCTCATAAACATGCTACAATAAAGTTGACAACACAACTCAACTTTTGGGAAAATCAAAGTAAAACTTCAGTCTGATGATCATTAACTATTACTCTGCTCTCTGTTAATCCTTAACTTAATGGATCAACTCACCATTTATATCTCCAAACACTCTAATGTGCTTTCCAAGTGGCACTATCAGTTTCCCATTGTCAGTCTTCTCGAATTTCAACAGCAACGTGTTGTAGTTCACCTGCAATTTCTTTGTCAATGCGTACGAGTACTTGATTTGACTCGCCGACATGCTACTCGTAGCTTTACTCTGCTGCTTCAGTACCCCGTAGTGATCCCAAATATTGCCCACAAATTTCTTGAAAACCAATTCCACTTTTCCGGTTTCTATAGCGACGTTTACATCGCAAGGCCACGTCACTTTATCGTAGAAACTCACTTCGTTCTTAAAGAGCGTGTCGTCGTACGTAATTGAGATAGCAACGTTTTTGTCTTCTAACGGAGGTTGAATTTCCACGAGGGGGTTAGAAAATGCTTTCGTATAAAATATAATGGTGATGTAGTCGAGTTTCTGGATCCAGTCAAATCTAGGCAAAGACAAGATTTGATCCAAAGTTTCCTCCGGCCTTGAATCCACATCGATTTTCTTAGGTGGCGAGTTGTTTTTGGGGATTGTCGGCGACACAATGAGTTGATTCGGCGACGCTGTTGATTTTCGTTCTCCGAAAAATAAGGCCCCTGCGTCTATAGATGGATCCATAGACACCAATTTGCCGACTACACACTTCTGAAGAATTTGCTCGTAGTTTACCCAGGGATGTACCTAAAGAAATGCATTAGCACATTAAAATTTAGGAAGTTGCGTGCAAAAGTCTAATACAAAAATTGCGACCTGTAACAGTAAGTTTTGCTAATCTTAAATTACCATAAGATGATTAAAAATATTATTACTAATAAGTTGGGAATAATTGAATAATTGAACAACACATCAATGTAAAAGCCGAAAAAATGTGCTTATCGGTTCAAAATCGATAAACGCGCCCTTATTGGCATGACATCGACCTTCACAGCCGTACAAGCAAACATTTTCTTATATATTTACCTTCTTCATATTTTTCTGAAAGGAAATAAAAAGTAGCGGTGGATGAAAATGTGTCACAACCTCTTGTAGTAAACTTTGGTGATTCACAGGGTAGTATTTTACGCCTTTTACTATGATATGTATGGAGATGATACCGAGATTTATAATTTATTATTATTTATTATTCAGAAAAGCATCTTCTAAAAATTAATCCGAATAAATGGGTCTCCATCTAAAACGACATACTCGACAACATTTCTCTTAAATTAAGTCAGGATATTATGCCATTTAAAAACCTTAAAATCATAAATTGAGATTTAAGGCACGCATTGGATTAAAATTAAAGATGGCGTATCCAGCGAGGAAAATGCTGTACTCGCCAAGGGATTATCTAAATTAGGGCACCAAAAAATGGTATCACTAAATTATTGCGTATATGGATTTAAAACTCTGATAAAAGGCGTCTCGGAGGTTGATTTTTGGCCTTCGTAGGCATAAAGTTAAGGTCCCAATTTGCCTTAATATTTATCTGTCCGAGGTACATAAACGTAATTCTATCATTTACATAATCTTGGGACACATTTATACCTAAGATTAAGGAACGTTTGTTTCACTCAATAACATCACGAATTCGACAGCATATTTTATAGTGTACATTTCCTCATTCATATCCTTTTTTCTTTGTTTTTCGTCCCTCCCTTATGCATATTTATATGCACACTACCGCTGACATATACAATTATCTACACGTATTTATATAAACGTGCGTGCATAGAACTTGGCTCAGTATTCATGTGACCCAAAAAATAAACATGCTGTTTGGAAGATAATTCAATATGGTTTAGTATGAGTTAAAATTTGTCAAAAGTGCTGATCGTTTATATGCGCAGCTACGGTCAAAGAAATAAAACGTGTTCATGCAGTAGTTATAGTGATAGTAACAAACTTGTTAATTAATCGCCATTGCAACAGTAGTTTTCCCATTATTCGTTTTTACCACTTGGATAGCGTTTAATTGTGTTATCTGGCTTGCTTGCCATACTACACCGCAAAAAGGCACTCAAGTTATCCCTTTAATCGAAATTGGACTTTGCCAGCTAGCTGATGCTGGACAACTGGGTGTGACACGCGCAGCAGTTGCCAACGGTATGAAAAGATTGGATCATTTACTAGGGGCCCTGGAACAAGTAGAAGCCAAGTTACAACTGCTCGTAATGATCACTTTATTGTATCAACAAAAATCGTCACCTTAATGCTGTTTAAGTGCAACAATAGCTCCATTAATTTCTAAGAGTCGTTATTAGTCAGTTGACAGTGAGAAGAAGGCTCAAGGAAAATAACCTGACCCCAAAAACAACTGCAATTGGTCCAAAACTTACTCCAGCTCATCGACAAACACGCCTACGTTTTGCACGAGATCATCTGAATTGGACATTGGACCAATGGGGTTCTGTTCTGTTATCAGATGAGACCAGAATATGCCTTTTTGGTAGTGACCGATGAAAAAGGTGTACCGAAGACCCGGAGAACAATTTGCAGATACAGATACATCGAGGATATTTTATCAGATCACACGGTACCATATATAGATTGGAGAAGAATTCATTTTAATGCACACGGCAAAGATCGTGCAAGATTATATTACAGAAGTCGATGAGCTAAAACGGAAAATTGCAGCTAGACTTCGTATCCCAACCTCGATCCCAGAGCTTGTTGCAGTAGAGGAAGAGTGGCTTAAAATTCCGTAGGATTCAATAGCGAACTTGATTAGATCTATGCCTAATCAAGTAAGTGATGTTATTAGGGCAAGAAGGGGTCATACCCATTATTGAAGTGTTGGGTTGCTAATTGTCAATAACCCTATTTATTTTTGGTAATAAAAAAGAGAATAATAAAAAAATTTCAATCAATTTAAACTCGTATTAAATCATATTAAATTGTAAATTGTAAAATTCAAGTAAAAAGTTCACAATGGGCCAATTTCTATGCACGCAAGTTTATATCATATTTTTATCGTAGTATAAGTTGAAGTATAATTGTTCTTATTTTTTTAAAGCTGTAACAGCAACTCCAATCACGACCATTTGCCCTGTTATATTATTTTATTTAAGTATTTATTGTAACTTTTTTCTCCATTGGGTTAATTGTCATTATGACTATATTATTTCTTTCTATCGAATTTAGTATTAGTAGGGCAAATGCTTTGATTGATTTATATAATTCAGAACGAATGCTAAAAACCTTACTGGAACAACTTTCGTCCAAAGCTTTACAGTCTATGTCTGCCTCTCCTCTAAGTTGTAATCTAGCAATAAAATACGTTTAGTAGCAGCAATTATGAAAACCTCACTTATATATTAGGGCATAGATAGCAGACATTGCAAACAAGTCAGCTAATTTTTCAAAATTCTCGTTAGTTTTAATTTTGTTAAAATTTAAATATATTTTTTCATTAATTTTTCAAATAAACTTCCACAGGCTACTGTAATACTTTTTACAAAACTTCTGGATTCCTCCTGCGTCGGTTTTTGTTGAGTCGAACTTGCTGACGTTTCGCCAATCATCCTGTTGGCTTCTTCAGAGCTTGACTGAAACTGGCTCGTATTTTACTTTGTACCTGCTTATATATTGGTGTTAGATTGTTTATAGATTTCTATATACTCTCGTATTTTTCGTTGGTAGAAGAACTGATTACATGCAAGAATTTAGTTTTATCGAATAAAATTTTATGGCCGGTTTCATGAGCGTGTTCGGCAACAGCTGATGAGTTTATTTGTTTTAGTCGTAAGGCTCTTTCGTGTTCTTTGAGCCTTGTTGATATTTTTCGTCCGGTCTCTCCAATGAATTCTTTGCCGCATATGAAGATGTTGAGAGATATTTGGACATTCCTTTCACTTCATTGAACAATTAAAAAGCATTACATTAGATACAGAACATATTCTAGTTAGTTTCGACGTAGAATCCCTCTTCACCAAAGTTCCTATTCCTGAAACTCTAGACATCATTTCAGATATATTAAAGTCCGAGAATCTGGAACCAAACCTTCTCACCTTAATTGAAAAATGCTTGTCGGGAACAGATTTTTCTTATAAAGGTCAAATTTTTGAACAAACGTCGGGAACAGCTATGGGTTCTCCACTATCACCAGTCATCGCGAATATATTTATTTGAGAAGAAAACTCTCGACACCTTTCATCCAAAACCAAAATTATGGAAACGCTACGTCGATGATACTTTTGTTATTTGGCCTCATGGTCAAGAAACCCTAGTGGATTTTCTTAGACATTTAAACTCTATATTCCCTAACATATGGTTTGCCATTGAGTTGGCAACTAATAATAACCTTCCAGTCTTAGATATTCTTATCAATAGAAAATCAGACCTAACATTGGGTCATTGTCTTTACAGAAAACCTACGCACACAGACCGATACCTTAATGCATGGTCACACCACCATCCGGCTCAAAAATCATCTGTTATCAACTCTCTTGTTTACAGAGCCGTAAAACTATCTCAGCCCGAGTCACTAAACCCAGAATTAGGACACTTTACCTCTGCTCTTCTCTCTAATAATTTCGACATTAAAGATATTAAGCGTTCCATCAAAAAATACACTTCACCACAACCTTCCAATAGCAATGAGACCGAAAGCAATCCTACACTTGCCACTGTGGTTCTTCCTTACATCAAAACATCACTGACCACATATCAAAAGTTCTAAAGAAGTATAACGTCAAAACCAGATTTACCACTTGTCCAAAAACCTCTCAACATCTTCGGTCCGTCGAAGACAAAACTCCTGGAAGTTTACAGCATTCCACACATATGCGGCATAGAATACATTGGAGAGACCGGACGAAAAATATCAACTAGACTCAAAGAACACGAAAGAGCCTTACGACTAAGACAAATAAACTCATCAGCTGTTGCTCATGAAACCGGACATAAAATTTTATTCGATAAAACTAAAATTCTTGCATGTAATCAGTTCTTCTACCAACGAAAAATCCGAGAGTCTATAGAAATCTATAAACAACCTAATAATATGGGAATCAGTCATCCGAGACGGTGTTTATGCCCCTCATTTAGCTCCGCCCCACTAAAACAATATATAAACAGGTACAGAGTAAAATGCGCTCCAGTTTCAGTCAAGCTCTGAAGAAGCCAACAGGATGATTGGCGAAACGTCAGCAAGTTCGACTCAGCGAAAACCGACGCAGGAGGAATCCGCAAGTTTTGTAAAAACATTTTTTTTTATATGTGAAAACTGTAAATAAACGTATCTCAGTTTCTACGAGGCCAGAAACAGTCAGAACATTTTCACCACTATTACACTAACTCATATATCTATATCTATCTATATTTACAAAGGACAACAGTAGTGTCGAAGTCGAAGATTAATTATTGATAATTTGATGTTGAAATACCGAGCTCCTGTTTGGGTCGGTCTGAACTGTTTTACTACTTTATTTTTGATGGCTTTGCTGATTGTTGTCATATTTCTGAGGTTGAGGTTCGCTAAGACTTCTGCAGATGCAGAATTAGGCAGTTTCTTGTTGCGATTTAGGATCAGAAATAAATAAAGTACTTGGCTGGCTTTTATATTTCTTGTATATTCACGAGAGTTGGCATTTAACTCGCTTGGTATTGGCTGCACTGCACTAAATTTCGCAGAATACATTACTTGGTTTATTTTTCGGAGTATTTGCAGAGTCGGAGACGTCACTTTTTTAACTTAATTTTTGGACGAAATTGGGGGCTTTTATTTGCTATTGCTAAAGCTTACTAGGTTCAGTTGATTATTATAAAAGCTGAAAAATGGTTAAAGTTCCTATTGCCGTTTTCTCTCTTCACAATTTCAGATAATAATAATAATAATAATAATAATAATAATAATAATAATAATAATAATAATAATAATCATACAAAGCTTTATTTCTAGGAACTACAAAAGGCGAAATTGATGCAGAGTCTCCGAACTTAAACTACATATTGCCTTCAGATAGCGATCAGATACATTGTCGTTAACAAACAACAGCCACTACAGTAACCATACCATCTTGAGTACTATTTAATTTAATTAATTAACAACTAAAAGGAAGCATAGAAATAGCTTCCCTAAATCTATCATCAGTAAATTATTTAATATTAGGGTTATATAATTTCGCAATAATAAATAAAAACTAACGTTGGAAGTCAGCAGACACGTGTACTCACATTTATTTTACTTGCTAAGGTATAAAATGAACTATTTAGGCAGCTCTCTTCTGAATTTGCTGCATTTTGTTAATATATATTTATTCAATATGAATATGAATTCTTTAAATTAAATTAAATAATTATAATAATTACATTAAAATTTATGTGGATACTACTCTCACTTAATTTATATTATTTAGTTTAGTTTTCATTAGTACGGGTTGACCTTTTGTTTTGAGATTGAAAAGTCATTCCTAAATATGAAAGAGCTGTGAATCCTGAACAGGTTAGTTGCTGCATCCTAAGCTTTTATTTTATTTTTGTTACCCTTTTAAAAACTAGAATAAATTTATCCCATTTGACCAGCTGATAAAGTGCAATTTTAAATGGCCCTTAATGGTTTAGTTAAATCCAAGGGGATACAAGCGGAAAACCAACAGGAACACGAATTAAAAACTGCAAAAGCCCTACCTCATTAAAAATATGAGTGGCGTCGATCCCAGCTCCCCTCATTAACTCCTCTTCGCCCCCCGGATGAAAGGGTAGGTAAGCGGTAACGTTGTACACCCGACCCCTGATCGCCAGCCAGGCATCGTTTTTCTTGTTGTGCTTTGCTAGTTCCTGCTTCGTCACCTAAAACGGTAAATTAGTGGACGGGCTTAAGCCTTTTCACGAAAGGAAACGATTTTTAGTCTTTTGATGTTGAAAGGGATTTTCCTTTTGTCCGTACGAAATGAAAAATTAATTTGGGAGCGGTGCTATTGGCGACAGAAATTATTGGTAAATAGAAGGCCTTTTTCATGAATTTATTTATTGTCCGTATAAATTTTAAGTGACGTCTACTGTCCTGAAATTCTACCAAAAAATTACGTATCTGTTATACCTTTGCTATTGCAGATGCAGATTTTGTATTTAGATTACTATTTACACATAATTTATAAATTTCATTTCATTTTAATGTCATAATGGAGAGTCTGTAAATAAATGAAGGAACTCTGCTCTGCAGGAAATATGCCAATGTGACCAAGAGTCATCTCGTGATATTACTGGGGGGAGGGGTATGGTTCGCCCAGAATGTCTAGAGGATAGAGTGGATCGTGCGTGCGTGCGTGGGAATATGCGCGCCCTTGTGTAGGATTACAGGACAATGAATTTTAAAAGCAAAAGGCAAGCAAACAGAAGCTCTTTATAACTTTCCAAACTTACATTATAAAATCACTTACGTATCTTGTGAAACTCTGATTCTGTTATGATGATTTTCCAAAAAGATTGAAAATTGGTAAACTAGTTCCAAATGTGCTGTCCGTTATATCGAAGTTTCGAATATCATTTTAAAAATAATAAAATATTGTCAAAAATTACAAATCATAAAATTTCAATATCAGCCATAGGCTTTTTTTTTATGAAAGGCTGATAAACATGATCGATATGGGAGGGTCCTCTTGTGATCTCAGCAGTGGTGTCGGAGAGTTTTTAAATTTTATAAAAAAAATATGGTTTTATTGATGGGTCTTTTCGTGGGTCGAAATCTTTTTTAAATAACGGAAAAGGCTACGCTTTTGTTCAAAATTTTGACTTTTGAAATTTATATTAAAAATTTCACTCAAAAAAATATTAAATATTTCAACCGAGGTATCCCGGGTTCGTTCCGGGATCCGAAATTCTTTTTCTTATTCACTAACCTATTCACAGCTTGTTCCTAAACCATGCAGAAAAAAATGTATATAAATTAAAAATCTGAATTGGACAACAAAAAGATCCCCTTTAGCTACAATACAAAATTTTTTGGTCTATATATTGAGAAAAACCTTAACTTTTGGAAAACACAGTGTGAATATCAAAAGTAAACTTGCAAAGTTATGTTTTGAGACAATTAAAATCAGTTCTAAAAATCAATCAGCTGATTCTAGTTCATATTCCGAATGTGGATAGGTTCTCTTTTTATGCTCTAGTAACTGGGAAAACACCATTAGACAACCTTCATACACATATTAAGTGATCCTTCTCAATTTTAATTTGGGTTTTGGCTTCGTAATGAGATGGCTAGGATAAAAGCGGGTTTTCTTATGTTTGAAACTTTATTTTTGTTGCAACGGTAGTCATGCCCGCCGAACGACGACAACATTCACGGAGTATAAAAATTAAAATTACATTGCTACACTTCAAAAGTTTCTGTAATATCAACTATCGATTTAGCAGCTACTTGGAGAAAACTATAAAACATTACGAAGATCTAACTCCGCACTATGTAGAACCTAAATCTATCAAAGAATAAGAAAAAAAAAGAAAGAAATTTGACAACGACGCGATGAGTGAAAATGAATACCCTGCAATATTGAAAATAATTCAATATTTATAATTGTGTCAATATTTTTATGTTTGCGATGGCATCCGCACGAAACACAACCACCTTAAAAATAAAATCTCCTCTTTTGTTTCTTACCGAAAGAGTTCCCGCATTGGGACCCAACCCCGTGAGGTCCTTGCCCGATGACCCCAACCTAATCCAATCCATAAGGGAATGGCCTGGCTGAAGGGCACATTTATTACGGGGGTTACCTGCAACAGGAAAAAACGCATTAAAAGTTTTGTGTAAAACTTGTTTCTATATGTTTTTTCAAATTCGGGTTTACAGCCAATATGAACTTGGATCCGATATCATTGGAACAGACAAAAGAAAAGACAACTATTTTCGTAGCGCAGATTTTTGTCAGCGAAAGTGAAAGAAAAAAAATGTCAATGAATCAAAGTATAGTTCGTAGATTTGAAATGATAATAAATAAATTAAAAAAAGCGTAAATTTTATTAATTAATTAAGATAGCGGATGTCTCAATTTGACCCAGTTAGTGTTTCCGGAAGAGTCCAATTTAAACCAGACAACTAATTTGTAATGCGTCGTTTGTAACTTTTGGTTAATAAAGGTTCAGGATTTCTCATTAATATCATTTTATAAGAGAATTTTGTTTTGGTTAGAATAGGTTTTGGCCCAAAGATGAGAAAAACAAATTACACTGATCGTTCTAATGAGCGATTCACAAGAGATTGGTCGATGACTGTATCCGAGGCGGAAAAAACAACCGCAACAAATAGCAGGGTTTGTTGACGATCGTATTAAAGAAAAGCAAACCCAAACATTCTTTTTTTGCACTGATAATTATTCAGATAATAATGGCCTGGATAACGTTGATCTAGCGAACGAACAGATAACGCAGAAAACGACGCTGTATTTTACTCCTTTTTGGAAGACCCCGAATTCTCTTGTTTGCAAAATTTATGTGGGAAGTTCGTAGAGGTAATTCAATGATCCCAAAGGTTTTTTGTTGGTTATAAAGTCATTTTAAAAAAAGTGTAATTCAATAAAATATATAGCCATATTTTTTTAAAACAGCCAGTAAGTGTATTTTGCTTCCAATCTTTTTGAATTAAAAATTTTCTGTTTTAGGAAATAGTGAATGGTTAATTAACGATTAAGTCCATTTTAATTTTTACCAATTGGATGGCTACAGAGTCAACTGATTTATATATGATATGAGATATTTGTTATTGAATAATTGAACTAAACGCCTTTTTATTCATATATTTAGTTACTAAATTCTGCGTTCCAAATCATCGCAGGTGTCGTTTGTAGCTTCAAGTGACAAATGGGTTGCGCAAAACTCACGTGCTTAAAAAAATACACATTTTAATTTATAAAATAATAAACAGGGTACATTAAGATTTAGAAGATAAAGTACCGAAAATGTAGAGTGCGCCAAATTTTCAATGACTTTGCAGTGTACAAATGTCAGGAAAGTAAGAGAGTAGGAGTTTTGCGCACTTTTGGGTTATTTACAGGTGAAATGAAAAACCATGGTATTTTTAATTCGTATTTATGAAAAGCTCTCTATTTCTATGATCAACCAACTTATCTTTTTTTTTCTTCTTCCACAAGCTACTGTAATACTTTTTATAAAACTTCCGGATTCCTCCTGCGTCGGTTTTTGTTGTTAGCAAGTTCGAGTCAACAAAAACCGACGCAGGAGGAATCCAGAAGTTTTATAAAAACTCACCAACCTATCGTTGGCATTAAGAGAGATTGCTGTCTTATTTTGATGTTTTTTATGTTGATCCGTATTTTTTGGTTGCTGACGTTTATATATTTTACTATTTAAATTATAAATTTAATTAAATGACTAATTATTTATCTAAGACATGGACTAAAATGTTTGCAATTTTTAAAAAATGCATTTTTTTTAGTACACACTGCAATTTAAAATAACACGTAGATAAAAATAATATAGATCTATCAGTACAACATTATATCAAAATATTGGAAGAAGCAGTATAACTTATTCAAGAAGCGGAAAAAAGTGTAACTTCTAAATCTCGAACGAAATGAACAGATTAATATTTTAAGTATTTCGTGAAAGGTTGTAATACTTAACCACAATAGCCTTGTGTTGCTCGTGAAAACTTAATGTTAATTGTTTCTAGTTTTTCCCAGATATACAATCAGATATACATTTTTATTTCCGCTGTCTTCTGAAACTATAATATCCAAGATAGCGAATAAAAATGAACGAACACTTATACCATAATAGCATAATTTCATCCATACAATCAGGGTTTCATCATTCTTATAATTCTCCTGCAGCGTTGCGATACTTTATCTGGTGCAAACTATTCTTAAATTACTAGTATAGCATGTACATTCTATAGAAAGGACTTTGATACCACTGTTTATTCCACATTTGATTCAAAATATAAATATTTGGGGTTCGGTCAGGATAATATGGGTAGTTATAAAATATTATTTCATAAGTAGGAGACACAAAGTTTACGCCAATATTGCTTTTCACAAAACTTCTAGATTCCGCCTGCGTCGGTTTTTGTTGAGTCGAACTTGCTGACGTTTCGTTAATCATCCTGTTGGCTTCTTCAGAGCTTGACTGAAACTGCCTCGCATTTTACTCTGTACCTGACCACTGGTTTTGACGTTATACTTCTTTAGAACTTGTAATTTGTGGTCAGCGATGTTTTCAATGTAAGGAAGGACCACAATGGCAAGTGTAGGATTGCTTTCGGCGTCATTGCTACTGGAAGGTTGGGGTGAAGTGTATTTAGTGATGGAACGCTTAATATCTTTAATGTGGAAATTATTAGAGAGAAGAGCGGAAGTAAGGTGTTTTACTTCTGGGTTCAGGGACTGGGGCTGAGATAGTTTTATGGCATTGTAAACAACAAAGCAAACTATCTAGTTTACTCATTAAAGCCCTTTACAGGGAAAGCTGATAGTCTCGTACTCAATTCCTTTCACGTCATTGAAAAATTATAAATCATTACATTAGATACACAAGATATTCTGGTTAGTTTCGATGTAGAATCCCTCTTTATTAAAGTTCCTATTTCTGAAACACTCAGCTTAATTTCAGATGTATTAAAATCCGAGAATCAGGAACCAAACCTTCTCACCTTAATTGAAAAATGCTTGTCTGGAACATATTTTTCTTATAACGGTCAAATTTTTGAACAAACGTCGCGAACAGCTATGGGTTCTCCCCTATCATCAGTCATCCTAAATATATTTATGGAAGCCTTTGAGAAGAACGCTCTCGACACCTTTCATCTAAAATCAAAATTATGGATACGCTACGTAGTTGATATTTTGTTATTTGGCCTCATACTCAAGAATCCCTAGTACATTATTTTAGAAATTTAAATTCTATACACCCTAACATACGTTTTACCAATGAGTTGCAAACTAATAATAACCTTAGAAAATCAGACCTAACATTGGGTCATTGTGTTTACAGAAAACCTACGCACACACTGCGATACCTTAATGTATGGTCACATCACCATCGGGCCCGAAAATCTCTTGTTTACAGAGTCGTAAAAACTATCTCAGCCCGAGTCACTGAATCCAAAATTAAAACACCTTACTTCCGCTCTTCTCTCTAGTAATTTCCACATTAAAGATATTAAGCGTTCCATCACAAAATATAATTCACCAAAACCTTCCGAAAGCAGTCCTACACTTGCCACTGTGGTTCTTCCTAACATTCAAAACATCACTGACCACATATCAAAAGTTCTAAAGAAATATAACGGCCGAACCAGATTTAAGCTTGTAAAAAAATCTCTCCGTCAAAGATAAAATTCTATTTGAGAGGCCAGTAGTTTACAGCATTCCAATCGAAAAAACATGGCGGCGACTGACACTACGGCTCTCACAGCCGAGCTAAACAAACTGAAGAAAAGTGAAATTATTGATTTATTAGTATTTCAATCTCTACCCGAAAGTGTATCTAGTGAGTTGCTGATTGCTTTCGCCAAGGACTTTAGTGAGAAAAAATATAACAATTGTGTAAATTGCCAAGGAGCAGATGAACTAAACAAGACAGTGCTTCAGGCGACAGTGTAAACACGGTTGTTGGGTTCGATACAAAGGTAAATTATCTGAATGACATAATTACCAAAGTATTGCTATAAATTCATTGTTGAGCCAAAATAACCTATTAAATATTCTTGTAAACAAAGAAAATAAAACTATAAATGGTGATGGTACTAACATCCTGCCGCCATCTAGCAAAGACTATTTAAAACTGGACAGCAGAGATAATAGACAAAAACAAATAGCGCAGGAAACTGTTTCATATAGTAATATGCAGTATTCTGCAAATAATCAACGGCCAGTCAATCGTACCCGAATTCAAAACCCCACCACAAAGATACAGGCAAATAATACACAGCCTGAAATAACCCGCGGGGACGTCGCAGTCGCGATCGGAGACATTAATACGAGACAGGTACTAGAGAGCGCTATTTCTCTCGGTACCGAAGATTCGACGGATCCAAAAACCGACGGATACAAAACCGTGCAACACAAAAGGAGGCCGAACGTCAATTTTACGGTTGTTGGCACTGGTGCTTCGGCTAGGGCCGACAAAATAATGCTAAAGGCTGCCCCTGCACTCTCATTTTACCATTTATACCGACTTGATCCTGGAACAACAGAGAAAGATGTTATTAAATATCTCCAGCCAAGGTTTCTTGAAGTTGCGTGCATGATCCTTGAATCCAAACATCCAGAAGAGTATTCTTCGTTCAAAGTAGGAGTCTACGAATCAAACGCAAAAGAGCTCCTTGATCCAGCAAGATGGGACGTGGGTACTAGAATCAACAATTTTTTTAATTTAAGGAGAACCAACCGGATCGAGAGATAAACCCCAAGGACAGTGGTCGGATGACAAAGAGTGTAAATTTTTTTCACCTAAACACACAAGGATTTGCAAATAAGATTGATGACTTGTCATTGTACGTGAATAGTAATTGTTTCGACTTAATCTGCTTAAGTGAACATTGGGTAGTGAATTACAATTTGATTTCGTTCTTTTCTAGGTCTACTCGCATTCACGGTGGAGTGTGTCTGTATGCTCGTAGGGGTCTGGACTGCTTGAAAATTGACGTATCGAGTTACTGCAGTGAGATTGACGCGGAGTTCTGTGCTCTTCGGGTTGCTTCGGCGAAATTATTGGTTGTTTGTTACTACAGATCTTGTAATGGCAATATTGCGATA